GAAAACAGGCAATAAAGCGTTTGTGCAATTGTGCAAAGTGCTCGTACTTCCTTTTCAGGATCATCGAGCGGAATATTCAGAACGTTGTCCATAGCTCGTAGGATGGCCACTATTGAGGTGACCGTATTGTTGTAAACGACCGCCTTACGTTCGTTGATTTCATCTTCTGTGAAACCATTACTGTGTAAGATTCTGAAATCAGTATTCGTCATTGAGACTGACAGTCTAATTCAACTCTGAATTCTTTCTAATCTTATAAATTCATTTCCACTTTGGATTTGTCGCTTCAGTAAGTGAATCGAATGGAGTTGATATGATGTCAATAACAACTAAAATTTACGATCAACTGTAATTCAATGTTCAAACGGCAATGAAGTGTATTGGATGAATCGTGCGAACGTTTCCAGAATCGGATACATTTGCAACGTTGGCACGATTTGAATGTGCTCGAGAATCTCGAATGTGTTCATGATTAATTACAGCTATTATCATGTATCATATGCAATAAGCACGCATTCACTAGGTAATAAGCAAATGAATCAGACATAATTAACACTCACTGCATCTGTTTCAATACTGTTGATTTACCACATTCACCAGCACCTGCAAATGAGCTTCACTTATACGGAATCACGCTACAACTATATCCATGCAAATGTCAGTATGTCTGCATGAATCAAGAGAATGCTTTCAACATTCTCAGTAAGCATATCACTATCTAGAGCGTCCACTTTCCATCTGTTAACCAAAAAATTCAGTGAGATTTTCAACTAGCACATTCAGAATTGTAAAATCCGACTATATCTTACCAAGAAGAAGTAATTTTACAATTGATGATCCGGCACGTTTGTCTTGATTTAACTGTTTTTCAATCGCCTTATTACGAGCCATTTGCTCTTGAGCCTCTTGGCTCTGACATGAGCCCATCGCTCTCGATTGACACCTATTTGTTACGGACCAATCAATAACCACTCGATATTGTCGTTTCAGATCGTTTCACAGATCACATAACCAATGAATGCAATCATGTATTCGTGTCTTTCGCTACAAATCGAACAGTTTCTTATGATGAAATTTCTGAAAATTCCATTCCGGTCTCACATCAGTAAACAATATACTGGAATAGGTAATGAATCGGCACACTCGTTGTTGCGCGTCTCGAAAAAGCATAATCTGGACTGCGCAGTTAATTCGACCATGAATTCATGCAGTGCTGAGATTCGGTGAATTTTTTCGAGTCTTAAGGATGCGGGAATGAATCAATACAATTCAACAAATTAATGCCATAAAATTTATCTGGTCAATTGGTTTTGCAACAGCAATTGAATGATTACAGAGCAAATATAATCACTGCCGAAGTGCGATTCCATGTTGATAATAGATTATTTCATTAAGGAAGTAAATCGAAGGGCAATGAAATAGTGGGAAACTGAGAACTTTATCCGAATTTTTTGTTGTCGATTTGTTCACATTCGGCATTCACACAAACATAAAAGCATATCACTGGATAATTATAGGATTGCTTGCCATGTAGACAGCGAACAAAACAAGAGGTATTGAAATTGAATGTGATGATTATTGCTGCATGGGTGAAGAATGTTGGCTGCGAAAACGCGAAAAACAAATGAATAAATAATGAAGAGGACATTGTTGTTAGTGGAGCGTTTCCAGAATGAATGTAGCGTAACGTCTCAGGTGAAGTGCAGCAAATGACATCACAAAATTTACTAGACATCACCACCAAATGCAACACATTTCGAGTACATAATTTGCAATTTCCATAATCTTTTCATAAATCCAAACAAACAAAATTCGACGTTTCCGAATCAAAAGCCATTTCATTCGATTACACCTTCTCATGTAACATCAAGCAGCACCATCACTTTTAGCCTTAGTTTCATTATATCAGCACATTGTCAACAAGAGTATTTAGGAAGGAAATGAAAAGAGCTCAAATATCAGCAGAATGAGCACGTAAAATGAGGTGTTATAATTGAGAATAAGCGTAATAAAATGAATGATAATCAGCAATGAAACAGCACATTCGCTAGACACCAATGACTACATATCAGAACTCCGGCTTTTACATGCATTAACAAATCAGATCATGCATTCGTCCACACATCCTTCCACAAATAATCGTGTAATAACAGGTGATAATAATAATGAAGAATGATATTACTGCTCTTATCATCAGTGTATAATAAAGATAATAATGAACATTCTCATTGCGCCTATAATTCACACTTCGCATGAGCGTCACAACTGAACGTAAGTGGCTAAAAGAAATGGCTAACGAAGTAGTCAGTCAACCTAGAAAACCAATGATGATGACGATGAAACAAAACATGACAAGAGTACCTCATATCCTAGTTCTGCTTCTGTTACTGCAGTGGCTGATTGATACCTTGGTAACGAACCCACTTGTTTCAATGGCTATTATACGCACATGAGTTAGGTTAGGTGATCGACAGACTAATCGTAAGTGTCGACTGCTTAAATGAGATTGTTGTCATCATTGTTGCGAAGTATCACTAGTCATAAATGTAATGTAATGTAGTATTAAATCTATATCTAATCGCAATCTGTGAGCAACTCGGATTCTGTTTGCTTTTAGTTGATGTGGTTAGATGTGAGCCTTTTCACACGCACAACATTATACACATTCAATTTCACACCAACAACTTACCTTCGCAGTGTTCACATCTCCATCCATGAGCGTTGCTCACTTCATTAACTAACTGCATTACGGATACACGATTCCAAACAATCAAACCTCTACCGCATACCTGCCAATGCTTTGTCTTCACCGCTTTTCAGCACTGAATGTGCGATTTCGTTGCGATTCCCACATGATATCATGCGCTTTCGGATTCGGCAGCAGGCGATACTAGGGAAAAGAGCAACAGCATTCTGTTTCTTGCTTCGCGTTACTTACATGCAATTCGTCNTTTTTGGTCACATCAAGTGTGAATAAACGATAATAAATGGAACAAGTGGCATTCCTCAAATTTTCTCAACTGCATAAAAGTGGACTGCGGATGGTATAGCAACCGCTTGGTAGCAACAGATATTTTCTTCAGTTTTTGAGTTAATGGTGTTAATAAATAATAGTTTTGATATTGAGTTTGTGAGTTGCGTTCACTGGTCCCTCAATATAGTTAGTGATTAATGAATCGTTGAAAGTGTTGTTATGATTTAGTTTTTGCGGAGGTTATTGTAAAAGATATATATTACAAATGAGAGATGATCGTTGCTGAATAGTGTAATGAATCATTATTCACTTGCTGGCACATCAAAAGAATTCGTTAGAATGATGCAATATGTCGTCAGGCTTACGATATGTGCACCATGTGACTGTGCGAATTGATGATCCGGTTTGATAAGACGGTGGGAAGGAACGATGACTGTCATCGTGCCAAAAGTGCTCAATGTAATCACCAACAACATTCACTCGTGACATAGTCGATATTCGTTACACTATTCCGCAATGTTTTCTCTTCACCTCCTCAGATTCAACTTATAACCTTTCAACGTAAGTTATTCAACCGTCGCATTCATAACCGATTGCATCAATCAAATCAAAAAACGAGATCAAACCGAACAGTTCGAACAAAGTTATCAATTAATCGAACTGCTATCAACACTGTTTGATCAAGGTTTGACAATGCAGACGCGAAAGGAATTTCGAATGCGATCCCGTTCAGCCACATTCAGGATAACACAAAGCAATCAACAATAAACAATACAAGAAGGTGTTTACTTTGGGTCTGATGGAAACAAAATCTCGAGAATTGGTGGAAAATCTCATATGCCTTATTCCCCAATTCGATATTATCCGTGGTTTGCAGAAAAAAAATTATTTGAGAGAAGAATTTGATAATTTGTTTACTCAGTTCAAATTTTTCTTCTTATTGTTTTCCGTATCAGAATAGAAATGCTTTTGAGTAGATACCTTATCCGAGAGCATCAGAACTGAATCAGATAATTACTACATCTATTAATATTGCTTTTGTTATGATTACTGTTATCTTTATAATCGTCGAAACATCAGTGCGGATAGTACGTTGGCAACGGAAACATCATCCCAAAAAAATTTACTATAATAATTCACATGAAGTATGAAACATGCAAATATAAACTAACTTATCACATGCACTATATAAGTTCAGTTCGTTGCATACAAATGAATTAGTATGGTCAAATAAAGTGAAATACTACATGATTCATTTTCAATAAAGCAACTCCCGTCAGCAACTAAGTCAACAATACATCAGATGGTCGCAACTATATTACAACTATCTGTTCACCATCAATCCAGGTTACTCACATCCGGATCAGCGAAGTAACACTCAGATTCAATTCCTAAATTGAAATCGTTACCAGTTCCACCTCGGAAAAGCGACGTTACGATGCGGAACCATCCTCTCTCACCCTGAATAAGCACACTCCATTAGTGGATCATCCAATTTTAACAGCTTCTATGTGAATGCTGCGTGAATTTTCTCATCCTTCAGGCAATCCCAAGAACCTGTTATTCTCAAAAAGAATACATCCATGATGTCCTATGATGAAGAGTCAAGAAATTTAAGTCTTCCTCACCCATGGCTCTCCCCAACTGTTTCGCACGATCCAATATTCAATGTTAGTTTTCCGATCGATACCCCATCCAGTCACCGATACGATATGATTCATCTGAATCATAAAATATTAATGGTTGAACCTTGATCTTTACCTGCTTGCAGACAGTCATGGAAATGAGAAAAATAATCCCAAGAACTATGGCTGAACGAAAACGCAATTATAATCCTGATGATTATATCCATCGAAAAATTTCTTCACTCATTCGAATTTATTAACTCACCGCAACTACAAGCTGAGATTATCCAATTAAGCAATTTCTTAAAAGCACACAGTTTCTTCAGTGATAATGTTTATGAGAATGATTAAACTTAGCAATTCAATTTCCAGTTGATAGACTTCATCATCACTGATCACCGATAGCTTATCAAATTATTTGCAAATTATTATTGCAATGCAATTATTCACATCTTCTTATCCATTCTCACGACATAACATTAGCATGAATTCTGATCGGTGACACTTATCAAGGACGACTACTTACAGGTACTTGTATCTTCTCTGCATAGATACCGCCCGTGTAATTCAGATCAAACTTCGCTGTGCAACCTATTGAGCATGCGATTGGACCACTCGTGTAGATTTCGCGCATCATATTCAAGCGACCCGTCAGTTTACCGTAATCCTTCACATAGTATCGAGTGTAGTTTTGGATGGAGAAACAACTGTCCGGCCAACAGGAACCGCATCGATGGAAGGGGTCGCACACTGTAATTTCGAGAATCAACACAGAATCGTATTATCTGCACTCGATAATCTATCAAGTTTAACATTGACATTGACATCGAATCTGCTAATCAACATTTGACATTGACATCGAGTCTGCACCATTCATTCGTACAATCTATTGAGCTCAATGAAAGCTGAACTACAGTTTCTAGTGCTGATACGTAGAAAGTGTATGTGAATAGAATATTTGACATGTTTAGCGGAATACACTGTTTCTTTCGTGTAGCAATCTTCGAAGTTGTGATGCCTATTGTTTCGTTCATATTAAATATAAGTGTGTGGGCTAAAAAAAGCCCTATGATCAAAAAGACGAAATTCGGTTCCTCTTCTGCTATTTTAAAATGATTAACAAAATGCATGCGATTGAAACCGAAAAACCTGAGTGTCCACACATACAAACATGCTATCACTGACTGAACTGCTGATAAATAACTGACACATCACGAATGTATCCCTAAGAAGCGCAAGTTACCTCCATTGGTGGCTCGATAGTTATTGCAGCCCTCATCAACGAGACCATGCGTATTCGCATATTCGAACACGTCACCGACATCACCTCCTTGACAGTTCCCTTTTCCACCACAGTCGATGATTTCCTGATAAACATCCGATTAAAATCAAACCTCAACAAAACAACTGAATCATCATACTTATTTCATTCCTTTTAAAATGAACTATTAATAGAAACACTCACTGATGAGTCAATATTTTCCGGTAAAATTCATGTAAACACCAAAGTGAATGTTTTGATTATAAATGATCCATTATTTGCATCTTTATTATCACTCATCTAGCAATGACTTACCACTCAGAATTCGACAAATCAAGAAAAATCAAAACAATAAGAGATCACCTGAGGTGAAAGGAATGTCATCGGCCATTTGTTACCACGTGCTATGTTGAAACGATCAGTTAACGCGCCTTCAATTGGTCAATATTTTTGTTATTCTCATAATGCTCTGATCTATGTTATGGCTCTTATTGCTAAATNTATCCTGTATTGTCCGTTCACATCATCCTTGGTTCGTTTGACGAAATCGAAATAATGCAGTCATTGTGAACCAAAACAACAGCGACATTAAACTCGAAAGCAGTTTTCAAACACCTCCACTTCAAACTACGCAAAGGCGCCTGTCAAGCAATTGATTTTCGTCGTGAATTTGTACGATAAATGTTAAGTGCATTCTTTCATCATCTTTTCATCATCACATTACTAATTTGTTGACTGTGAGCATCGTTTGAGATAGCATGGTTAATTGAGTTGTTTATAGGTGCCTAATGTTATTGCATTATACTGAATTGTAGTTTAGCTTAGTGCAGCTGTTCTTTTCGGTCGATCAGTCGACTTGAATAAATAATAAAGTTTTACATTTGAATTCTTTTACATAGTTTTACATATGAATTCTTTTTACATAGTTTTACATATGAATTCTTTTCATTCACTGAGGAGGCGAAACAAATTAGAATAAAGAGATTTGCAATAATGAATGAAACCGGATGATTATGATGCAAACGAATCACGCGATTGACTACGCACTTATATGAAACAGTTGATTGGTTATCTTCTGAATGATGTAAGTGCATTTTGAGGTTATTTCGTTGAAATAACGATGCGTGTCTCGGAGTAAAGACTGGTGACTACATTCGAGTTGTAATAAGGCAGATATAACGATTATTACATAAATCATTCAAACATCAACAAGTGAACCGATAGAGAAGAGATTCTACATGGTTTGCTATGCCCTTCGCAACGGTATTATTATTTTGGTTCAGTTACTGTTGTTTTATCTTTTATTTATCACGTTTATGATTTATTACAAATTTTACTGCTATTGTCGCTGAACATTACTATTATTTGTGACGTTGTTGTAAACAGACGTTAATATTATTAATTGTAGCATTACTAGTATTGTTGCTGTAATATGACATCATGCTCCTATCAATCATTATGTTCAATCAGTCTGAATGTGATCTCCTGCAAGAACTATTTGAATGAAAGTAAGGCATTTACTTACCTGTTCCACCGAACACCCAGCAACTACCGCAATATACGGGAATATGCTGATTTCGGGTTGGACTGCAATAATTGACACCGCTCACGTTGCGCCAATCAAACTCCTCCGGTAGTTGCGTATCGTCGAAGTCCTCAAGTTCCCATGGTCTCGGATATGTCCTGAAGTGCTCAGTCGAGTGCTGTTCTGTCATGAACATCAATCACATTACCAATGTGCACTCAGTCCTACGAGGAACTTAATCGAATATGGGTTTGATGGACTGCTGAGTGCCACATTTACCCAATGAATTTATATGGCATCTAGGCATGATTGAATCAATGATAGAAATTCTACAAATATTAACATCGAGTGGTTTATAGAGGAAATAAAGCAGTGTGTATGAATCTGAGAACCAAGTAGACCGAACTGTACGGTTAAGGTTTGTTCTGAATGAAAAAATATTGCGGTTGTTGGAGTTGTTCTGATATTAAAATGGCACAAGCGTTCAATGAAGTCAATACCAATTAATTTCAAAAAGCATCTTTTTTCACTGCACACCTGTGTTCGTATAATTTTCCACTCTTTACTAAGCACGGCTCTCGCAGATACCTACGATTCGCCCATGTTTCTTCATCATTCGACTGACCATCAGCGTCCCACCATTTCTGTTCATCAAGTTTACCCGTGGGAACCGGCTTCCTGTTCAACTTCGCTCGCTGAAATTGATTACATTCAGTTGGAAGCGCGGTTGGGCGCGAGAGCGAAATTAGGCACGAGGCGCTCAATAGGGTAGGAGATAGGGTCGGGAGTCATGAAAAGCGCAAAGAAGCCTAAAGATTATAATCCATGTTCACATTTTTCAATGTAAGTTATGCTTGGCCTTGCTGTTAATATTTCGCTTGCACTGTCTGGTTGGATTGCTCCATTCTCATTGTCAGTGAATTCTATTGGTTCCTCCTTATTGTGCAAAACAATTTGTTGATTGTCTGAGGTAGTATATCCGGAATATCTTATGAAGAGAAGGTTATTCGGCGCCAAGACGACGGTGCTAATCCGACGTTGCCAAAATTGTTGTGCCATAATGTTCCATTTCTAGCAAATGGTGTTGAAATATTGCTGATCCACTATTGAGAGGTACTTGATCTTCATTTTTCAAGATCGATAAAGATGGTATGATCAAGCACTTACACGTGCTTGATGTAATCTCTTTTTGTTGATCTTAGCGATTTTCACTGTTAGCCATTTCCGGAATTCTTTATCATTACCACCTGTAAATTCTTGGAACGATTTCATGCACTGGAATAGATGAACCTTATAAGAGAAGACAATGTTTGCCTGCTGCTTCTGTATGAANATGAATCGTCAGAAGGACGGGCACCTCGATGTTGACGAATGGCGTGATGAGCAGTTGGCAAACGGATTTTTCGCATCGGTACAACGGAGATTAAGTCGACGTCTTCGTTTGAGTCATCTGCGTTGATGGTATTCGCTTCGATGATATGTTCCATTTTCTGCTCGACATTCACTTCGTCGACATTCTTCTCAACTACGAAACTCAACGGCTTTGCTACTGCTGTGATTCTACGAAAGTTCTCATCACGTTTTTTCCACTCTAAGATTCGTTTCAACGATCGATTCCGTATATGCGCCTGAATTTCTCGTTTTTATTATGATTGTCGAAAGAACTTTATTTTTTGATTTGAAAATTCCACTTTAATCAGTCACAGGACTGTGCAATTTATGAGACCGTATTGGAGGGTCAACGTCATCGATCCATTAGTTCTTGCTCGATTTTCAAATGAAAAAAAAAACAGAATTATAAGCGCTCTTTAATTTTTTTATTGCCATTCGAAAAAGCCGAAAAAATGGCCTCGGTCGTAAATGGACATAAATACTGTCGGGACAAGATACGGCACGTCGCCATTAAGCAAACAAACAGTGAGACTTCTTTATCACGTTCAACTCAGCATATGATCTGATTGTTACGTTTCATTCATTTACACTCAACCGATTGATGGAAAATTCATTGTTCTATTCAACAATGAATCTGATAGATAAATAAATAAAGAGGGACATCACAAAAATTGGCTCCCTTCAAGCAGTTCCTCAATGTGGAATGTTAAATTATGAATTTTTGCTAGTCATCTTCGTTGATCGTTTGAACTGAATCAAAAGAATTAATGCTCCACTCACAACTCGTCAGTTTCATCAGCCATCGAACTGATATAATTATCTTACGATTGGACGTCTTAACTCATTCAGAATGCAAAAATGACAAATAATCATCTTGGTTTGGCTCACAATCAGAAACATTGTATTTAGTATTCACGATTTAGATTCCGTTTTTTGGCTGCAGGTTGTGTCATAGGTCGATAACTGCTTGCAACAAGCTCGGTCTTTATACACTTGAATAATGATAATTTTTGGACTGAATTTGATCTGCCCATCTATAATAATACAACAAAAACACGAAAACTTCAACAAAACACTTACTTCACATTCAAACGGTAAAGTAGCGCAAGCAAATAGAATCAGAAATAAGAAGCACGCACGGTCGTGGCTCATTTTGGTGGCTTGTCGCGTACTGTTCATTATGCAACTAATTGACTGCAGCGAACTTATCACTTCGGCTCTTATCAGTGCTCTCCTTTCTAACCTTACTACTCTTTAGTATGACTGGCACAGATAGCTTTGAATTGATTTTTAAATGCGTACAATTTTTGAAGCTGTTTTCGCATTCTCTATCCCACATCTATTCGTATCAATTTGCATTTTGCACTCAACGCTTCCTTCTAGAGATAGCATGGGCATTTTCTAGAGCGTTTTGATTTCAGGCTCACATTTGTGATCCTGAAGTAACGAACCGATTGATGTTGCAAACGAAAAAAGTCTGTTTATGAGAAATTCGTACAAATGTGGACGATCATCCTTGTTTATCTTGTTCATCATGCTCGTTCAATTCGTTTTGATAGTTCTGAATGTGGACGCACTCTGCTTAACGATAGTGCATTCATCTATCAAAAACATTGCGAGCTTTGTTAAATGCTCAACTTATTAAAATTCTGTCATCCTGTGTATCTTAGAGGCCTATTCAAGATGAAGATCAGTTCACAGTTTGTTAATCATTTTCCATTAGAATAATTACTAGGCGGATTAGTAAGAAAGTCAGTATTGTATTGCAGTAGTGAGTGCTACGTTGAAATGTTCGTAGCATGAATGGGTAATATTTATTTTACAATTAAAAACAATTGAGATATGTAACGGCATAACAACAACACAATAACGTATCATGCGTGTATACATGCATATCTATCATGCTGACGAGTGCAGACCGCATCAGTGTACATACAGATAAATATATACAGATAACATTCGAGCTACGAATGAACATTCATAACAATTAACGTAATAAATAATGCACTCGAATAAGTTATGTGAAGGAGTATTTACAGACAAACATGGAACGGTCGTACGTACAGTGGACCATGAGCAATATGACGAAATAAATTACATCTGTGAAAAAGTAATGTTTGGTCATGATGAGATTATGTATGGTAATTATTGAGAAGACGGCAAGGAGATATGCTACACTGATATTGATAATCTCTAACTATATGAATATACACTTAAATGTGGTTGGTATAGAGCTTGAGTAAATCTGTATTGTAATAGCATAATAACGAATAAAATGCAATCGCAAACGAACTAATTAACAGCAACTATATTATTATAGAAATGAAGAACTAATTAACAGTGATTCAGCTCATCTCTTATTTGAAGTGAGGTGAATTCGGAGCGAGACGACTCATAGAAATGATTGCGAATTCAACACCTGACCGTATATAATTTCAATTTCAGTTCTCTTATTGATGTTTCGCAGTCATCAGCTTAAAAAATTGGAAACCATATTTTCAAAAAAATCGACGCGAATCACTGAAATGAGTCTATGGATGAACAAAAGGATGACGATAGCGAACCGAAACCAGATGATTGCGGTGATGTTGAGCAGAGTCTGGCACGCCATAGGTCTGCCGAACTTGGAACATTCAAATGACTGATGCTTATCAGCGATGATAAACCCTCCTGCGATGAGACTAACGAATTGTCTGCATCCACTTCGGAAGAGGTTGACTTGACTGATGACGATGAATCTAGATGGCGATTGCTTGTCGATGAGGACGATGCAGTCGGCGATATTCGTATTCTGGTAATTGCGGCTGGTTGATTGCCAGTCAGCGTGGAGCAGTCCGAGCTTAGACTTGATGATGAGTCGATATCAGCCTCAAAAATGCCCTCATCTTCGTACATATCGTCGGATTCCTCGTCTTCATCCCATGACATCTCCTCTATCCACCAGTTCTCGGCGATCGTTCCACTTAGTCTTTTCCGGAAAACATCGTCGACGCGTTTCGATTGTTCGCGATTGAAATAGTTCTTCCAGTCACCACTGCCACCCTTTCGAATGAAAGTGTTTTGGCGTCTGAAACTGACGTTCAAATGAAACGTTGTTTGTTTTGCACTCATCAAACATTCTTATACTTTGCTATCGTTTGCACATTTTGTTGATTGTACTTAAAATAGCTATTTTGTGATAATAATAACTTGATTTGCGCTGCTGTAACGTAGAACGACGCATTTGCCAAAATTCGTAAATATTTTCTTCTTCTTCTTCATCAAACAAGCACTAATAACAAATTGATAATTCAACGACAATGGTGGGCGGCGGCGTGCAATATTCTGTCAACAATAATATTAATAAGTACGTTCATTGTTCGAACGCACTTTGTCCAGAAGTCATTTACTTCAGTAATGAAATATTGCGAAAAGAAATCAAATTCATTCATGAGAATGACTGCTGCTGCTAATGTCAATTCTAGCTCCCNCTTCAGCAATGAAATATCGCGAAAAGAAATCAAATTCATTCATGAGAATGACTGCTGCTGCTGCTAATGTCAATTCTAGCTCCCCTTTAATCTCAAGTATTTCATTCAGTAGGAAAGTCTCAACTATGCGATAAACACGATGATTGATATTGTCACGTGGTTCGAAGTGTTTGTTATCTGCTGCGTCATAACAACGATAACAATACATTAATATCAATAATAATGATGACGGAAGCAGGTGAATTGATATATCAGTGATGTACAGAATAAATATAACGTGATAAATAGAACATCAGTAATAAGTAACTGTAATGCGCAATAATAACTGGACGTATTTATGAACTGAGTGAGTTAGGTGTAACATTCAAGCAGATGGATGGATCCTTCTTAATAAATCAAAAACTTGTTTGTGGAATTGTGATTTGCTGTGTTTGTATGGCAGCAGCAGCAGCAGCAGCAGTTCGGCCGACCTATCATCTGCTATCAGAGTGTGCTTTTTCTGCCGATTCAGAATACTTTCAGTGATAGTCGACCACGTTATGTCAATAAACAGCAATAAAGTAATGTGACAAGTTG